ATGTTGGTCGGTCACCCACCCCCGAACGTTTCTGTCGTTCCAGTTTGGGGGTGTGACAGAGGTTTGGGTTAATGGGTGAGATAATTTCAGAACATCACATTGTTTTCGGGCCAAACACACCATCAAATGGTGTGTACGGCCATACACATGGGTGTGCGGTCGTACACCCATGTTGGTCGGTCACCCACCCCCGAACGTTTCCGCCGTTTCGGTTTGGGGGTGTGACAGAATCTTTAGGCCCAAGGGACCTCATACTGTCCAGATCTAAAGTCCCAACTCCATGGCAAGCTCAAACCACTTAGGGACCCACAGAAAAGATGGAAATGGCCATAAACTCCTAATGAAGTGATCTAACCAAACAATGATCAAGGTGATAGCTTTTTTACCTCCAAATAGCAGCTAGCACTAAAAGAACACCGGATCCAAGGGCTTCTTCTCGTTCCAAGTCTTTTACTCTTCAATCCCCTTCCAAAAATGCACTAGAACATACAATCTTAGCCTTTCTCTCTCTCTCTCTCTCTCTCTCTCTCACAGATGAATATAGATCGATTAGGGTTTCTCTCAGTGTGTCAAGATGATAAGGGAGGCGGAAATGAAGGCTTAAGGTCCTTTAAATAGGGCACAAACCATGAAAATTAGGGTTTTCACACTCAGCTCCTACTTGTCGAGTAGGCTCTAAAAATCACGCGGCCATTTAATTCTCTACTCGGCGAGTTGGGGCCTCCAACTCATCGAGTTGCTTTGACAACATGAATGTAAATTAATTAAATATTATACCTGGGAGTTGGGATGTTACACATACCCATTACCCTGGATTGTTTATTACAGAGGATTTCAAGGGTGAAATTTGATTCAAATGTGGGAGAATTGTAACATCCAGTTTACAGGTATTCTTTTTGATAAGTTGATCATTTATCTTGGAAATTTTGTATGGCCACGACGTGGCATTGGGAGAGCCACGACATGGAATTAGTCGGGAAGACTCGTGCTTTTGAGCGTTTCACGACGTGGCAGTATGTTGCCACGACATGGCAGCTATTTTGGGCCAAAACACTAATTTTATCGGGTTTGGGTGTCTTATTTAAGGGCACTAACTCCTAGGGTTGCCTCATTTAGCACCCTCCATCCTCTGAGATCTTATCCCATCCAAACCCTAGCCTCCATATGTGTGTTTTGAGTGTGTGAAACCACCTTTGTGAAGGTTGAAGAAGAAGGAGCTCATTTTGGTGTTTGAGTGCTTGTTTCCAGCATAGATCTTACATCTTCACTTCATTTATGACCTTTTGGAGGTATAAAGTCTTTGCCTTTCTCATTAAAACATGTTAGATCTAGGTTCTACCCACTTTTCTCCATGTTTGGGTTGAGAGGAGTGCATGGATCCCATAAAGTTAGCAACTTTATAGGTTATAGAGGTCCCTTAGTATACATATGTCTCAGATCTGGAGTTTGTTGGTATATTGAGCTGCATGCATGAGATTGTGGTGTTATTTCCCTACTTTGACCTAAGTTAGAGCTCTAGACTTGCATTGGGCATGCATGACTGAAAAGCATTAATCTTTGTGATGCATTAGACCTTAAGAAGATTTCTGAAAAGTTGGAAGGAGTGGTTTAACGGATTGAGAGCTGAATAGATAAGTTGTGGAAGCCCAGTTCCCACGACGTGGAAGCTGGGTGTTGTCGAATGTTTTACCGTGTAATACCCACCACGTGACCTATGAGTGGTCATGGCGTGGGGACTTGCTAAGGTTAACTTTGACCATGGTTGACTTTTGATTAATTGAAGGGTTTTAAGGTGTAGACTGATATGGTGCTATTTATTGATGTTAGGTGCCTTATAGAATCCGTCTTCGTTGTATGAGTTTTCTCACTATATTTACCTGTATGGTACATACATGTTAACCAACTGGGTCTTATTTTTTGATTGATGTTATCTGTGAAACTGAGTTGCTGATAACTCCTAAATTGTTGTGAGTCCAAAGGACTATTGATAGTCCCAATGTTGTTAATAACCCGCGAGGTGTGCTGTTAATCCATAGGGCATGCTATTAGCCCATTGGGATTGATAAAAATCCTCAGGGTTGCTGAGAACCCATAGTTGTTTATTATGTTGTAATATAGGTGATATTTGGGAAACTCGCTAAGCTTCGTGCTTATAGTTGTGGATTAAATGTGTTTCAGGTACTTTAGATGATCGCGAGAAGGCGAAAGCTTGATTGTACACTTCAGCTTGCAAATTTTATGATTCTGCATGTTTGATACTCTGATTTGAGATGATTGTATTTGAAACACTTGGGTTTTACCGACTTGGTTTTTATGATAATTGATTTTTTAGTTATATTAAAAATCGAAAAAAATTATGGTAAAAATGGGAAGTTGCAGGATACTTTCCATGTGAATTCTGGAAGCACATTATACAAATTACCATTCAGTGTTAAAAACAAATGAAAAAGTTTCATAGAGGATTATTGTCAAACAGGTGGTGTGCTTTAGATTCAGAGGCTTTGTCCCTTAAAAACAAACGAAGAAAAAACTTATATACCCCATGAGATTAGGCCGATTACAAGAAAAGTTAAGACAAACAGTTTGAATTTGATTAATGAAAAAAAGCGACATGGAGGCGATGCGATGGCAACAGGAAGGAAGAAATTTCGTTCTGATTAAACATAATTAATGAAAAGGTTTCCTTCAACAAATTTGTTTACCTCCGACCTCTCCTCTCCATTAAACACTTCGGTTGCCGATAACGAGCCAGTCATCCAAATCTATAGCAGCAATGGGAGGCAAATGATGAAGGCTCGACAACGGGAAGAAAAAGAATGATCTCTAGTGGATCTAAGATCTATGATACAACAACGTGAAATAGAGATTAACTGATAGATAGAGAGGGATAGAGAGAGCGACTGACGATGATAGGAAGACGACGAAGGAGAAGGAAGAGCAGGCGTACGTTACTGAGAGAACGAATTTCTTTGAATGATAAATTAGTTGTATTGCTTTTAGGAATTTTGTAAATCTATACCTAATTTACCCCTATTATTTTTGTTAAAAACCATATATACCATTAAAGCTATGTTTATTAACCATATTGCCATCTTTGATCTGGACCATTAAACTTTTTGACCTAGTAGTCCAATTTTAGTTTTTGGGTTCTTAGAAAACTATAGGTTTTCAATATATATATATATATATATATATATATATATATATATATATATATATATATAAGTTTTGTGTCTAGTAACTTGGATGAAGTTTGTATAACAAATGGTTTTACGTCTGCTAATTTGGAGATTGAAGGTTCTACTTCTGCTAACTTGGATGAAATTGCATTATAAATGGTTTATGTTTGCTAATCTAAAGACTACATATATGGAAAAAGTTAAGTCTCAAAGAAATATAATAAGACGATTTTGGATCAACCTAAATGACAACTTTAAATTATATTTCCAAACATAGTTTGGATAAGTAATCTTTCAGTTTTATTCCGAAAAACAATCTACACTACCATGTCAGCTTTGACCATTTTCCTTCACTTATAATAATCTTAGAGCATATTGGAAATAGATTTAGACATGCATTTTACCCAAAATAATTAGACGCCACGACCTTTTTCCTTGTTCGAAAAACAAATTGATATTTTCTTTAAATTTTAATGTTGAAAACCATCATAAACAACAATTTAAAGGAATTGGAAATGAATAACAATAAGGGGGCATATATTTCACAATATGGTAAGGGATTTTTTTTTTTTTTTGAATTACCGGAAGATCAACTGTAAAAAAAAAAAAAAATATTGTCAAGTAAAAACGTTTTTTTTTTTTAAAAAAAAATTGTCAAGTAAAAACGTTTTTTTTAACAAAAAAAAGAAGTTAAGAGTTTTTCGAAAAATAAAATCATCAATTACCGGAAAATTAATGCTAACTTATTAAAATGGCCAGAACAAAAAGAACTGAAAAATGTGAGGGTTATTTTTAAAATATAGAATCTTATAATATTAACCCTATAATTTATAGAAAACTTTAAATATTGTATTCACTTACATGTGTGCCCTTATAGATTGAAAATGTTGAGGGTGAAATTACATTCATCCTCACAACTTTACATCTAGGATAAATGTTTTTACAAAATGAATGGTTATTTCATATTTCATAATAAATATTATAAAGACGATCGATCATCTATGAGACTACATCTCCCATTTTGGTGTTTATTTTATTTTTTATAAAAAAAAAAAAAAAAAGAAGTTAAGAGTTTTTCGAAAAATAAAATCATCAATTACCGGAAAATTAATGCTAACTTATTAAAATGACCAGAACAAAAAGAACTGAAAAATGTGAGGGTTATTTTTAAAATATAGAATCTTATAATATTAACCCTATAATTTATAGAAAACTTTAAATATTGTATTCACTTACATGTGTGACCTTATAGATTGAAAATGTTGAGGGTGAAATTACATTCATCCTCACAACTTTACATCTAGGATAAATGCTTTTACAAAATGAATGGTTATTTCATATTTCATAATAAATATTATAAAGACGATCGATCATCTATGAGACTACATCTCCCATTTTGGTATTTATTTTATTTTTTATTAACCCTTATTTTATTTATAGTAATCTTTATTTATCCGTAAAATAAAGTAAATTAATACTTCAATGGTACGAACGAGTACTCCCCTTGATCAAAACATGATTGAGGGTTACTCATTCAAGCCTTTCATCCTAAACCCTAACTTTAAAAAACTTTCATTTGTTGGGGTCCCTCATACTTGCATTCACAATAAAAAAAAAATTTAAAAAGGTATCCAATTGAAGTTTAAATATTATTTTCTCTATTTTGGGTATTATTTTCCAGCTCATTTCCTACACCAATATTTTCAAACTTCAACAATGACTTGACATGCACTAAAACAAAGGAGACAGCATCAACATGCCAATTGACAATTGTAACCACTCTCAAGTCTCAAGAGCATAAATAGTCTTTTACTTTAAATACAACCATCTTAATTTCGTAGTACAATGTTACGAGTGAATAATCTAAGAGTATAACATTAACAACTACAATCTTTATAAAATATAGTACAATGTTAGCTCTATGCATTGTTAGAGAAGTTGGAGAAAGATTATATCTCTCTACTAATAAGTAACCTTTTTTCAAATGTTAAAAGTCAATAATTGAATAATTCCCCTTGAGATAGAAATCTCAACAATCTTTTTGTCTTCACATCGATCCTTCGCTCCGAAACAATCGTATGTATTCGAAGGGTACAATCGTAATTTTAATCACCTTCCTGTAAAAAAGTATATCAGCTACCAGCTAGCTTTTCAGTTAGTCTGTCAAACAAACAGAGTCTTACTTTTGGATGATATTTTCCCTTCCATGGCATCTTTTTTGTATTGGCAGTTTACACAAAGAAAAGGTCCATCCCATGGTTTTGACTTTCCACTCATATTAGCCGATCCATGGTGTATTGAAATTCCTTCTCCAGGTTTCATTTCAATTTGACACACAGCACAGATAAATAATCTGAAAATGTTACAAAGCGGATATTTCGTATCTAACCTGTGAAACCATGTACAAAACAAACGAGAGTAAATGACCATTTTACCCTTACATGTATAGAAAATGTTAAAGCTGTTGGAGTGTATACAAACCGTTGAGAAAGCATAGCAGATCCTTCCTCCACAAGCTCCTCCACTAAATCTGGTTCATAATATTCCTCTTCATCAACATGAGGTGGAGCCTCACTGCTCTTTTTCCTAAACATGGCCTTTAAAACTCTTTTTCCGGTCATCTTTGGTGGTGGCAAGGGCAGATTTGTCTTTTCCGGCGGTAGTACATCCACCACTATGCAGGTTGTATCGTCTCGCAACCCTTTCACTTGTACTGCTTCCTGTATATTAAAAACCAAAGATTGTTGAAAACAAAAAACTGAATATTAATATTATTAATTAATTTTAATATTTAATTAAAATTTTGAATTTTTTATATTTCCGTACTTTGACAATATGTGCTGCTGCTGATTCCGGAGCCAATCCGCGACTGCATTCCAGAGCTGATTCAGCGGAAAGAGCATCCCAGACTCCATCACTTGAGATTACAAGCCGCCCTCCAGCAGAAGATAGCTGAAGATCACAAATAAATAAAAAGAAAAATAAATTGAGTTTAATTACAAAACTAACCTTCACTTGTTTGACATGAGGAACTGGAACAATGAACTCTCCAACATCTCTATCTCCAATAGATCTTGAAAGGCACAACCCACCTGGCCAACATCTTAAAGGACCAATCTGTCATAAATATAAAAACATTGGTAAGTTAAGTAAGATCCCATTTGGCCATTTATATAGAAAAATTAGAAAAAAAAAATTTATAAGATTTTAAAATACCTCTGTGCCACCACCGGTATTTAGGCGACCAACTTCACCACCACTAGCAGTGACACGTTCCCGCCTATAAAGAAAGTAAATTGTAATGTATTTGGAATAAAATTTAATCCAAAAAGAAAGAAAGGGGATGAATTAAGTGAGATTTGTAAACATACTCTTCTTCATTGGTGTCAAGTCTGTGATCTGCTGAGAGAAAATATACAGAGCCATCAGCGGATTCAAGTATGCAGCGGGGAATCCCCAACTGATGCTACTGTTACTATTAATCCTTCAACAATTACAAATGTGACAGTTGTCCCTGACATTTGAGCTGCAATTGTAACAATATTAAAAGTCAAAATAAGTACTTACATATTTCAACATGATTATGATTGTGCTTACTATATTTGCATACAGACGCATCTTGAGATAAGGTGACAGTGCTAGCAGAAAGATAATTATAATGAGGTGGACCTACTTTATTATGCTTTTTAAGTCTTGATATGCATTACCACAAAGGTATTACTATCTAGTCACAGACATAATGGTAGTTGAAATTTTTGAAGGAATGTCTATAGTCTATACCTTTTTCTTGGAAATCTTTATCTGTTTTCACAAAACCAGCAACCATAGCCCTAGGCAAGGCTGCCACCCATTCATCACGATTCAGATTGGGAGGAATAGCACAAAGAACATTGTTCAAAAGGTTCTCCTTAGTATATATAGCTGCTGCAGACCCATTATGACCATCAAATATCTGCAAAAGAGAAGTTAGGTGGGAGCATTACAAGAAATCCATCAACTACTACAATGAAATGAAACAAATGTGAATTGAGGAGAAGAGAAAAAGAGTAATTGCAATCTGATCAACCTCATCAGAGACACAAGTCATTAAAGTTTTATCAAAGGGGGAGAAAGGTTGACGACATACCCCAAAGACAGAATAAGTGGTAACACCATCTCCCAACACGCGTTGGCATTCAGTTTTGATCAATGCGAAGTCTTCCCCTTTCTTAGATTCGTTAGCCTGACCACAAGCAATCTCCGGCCTATCAGCCTTTTGATTCGCCGATTCACGCTTCAACAACACCGACAATGGAACGTGTTCACTCTTATTGCAGGACATTTCCTTGATCGCTTCCAGTATCCAGATTTATAAAGTCAAGCTTACAGCTTCTCCTATTCCAGCATGATATACTCGATAAAATCCTATAAGATCAAAAACAAAATCCTCAGCAATCAAACATTCTGAAATGATTGCCTTACATCTAACGAAAATCGAGTACAATAAGCATCAGATTCAAAAGAATGACACACAAATTCTAATTTTCATAAGTCGTAACAACGATAGGTGCAATGAAAACCTTAATCAAAGAGCAATGTAGATAAACAAAGAGAAAAATCAACAATAAATGGAATGAAGAATCAAAGAAAGAGAAGATGAGTTACAAAGATTCGAGTATGAAGTTGGATTGATCGATTCGTGGTTGCAGAGGGAAAAAGTCGGGATTCGATTCGCTACAAAAATTTCCGCGCGAGAGAGGGGGCGTGATAGCTGTGATTTTTATTTTTATTTTTATTTTCGTGATGTTCGAGCGTGTGCTGACATGTCCACACACTCAAAGCGCGTGTGTTATGAGTTGTCTTTTTGTTTTCTTTATATTGATGAAATATTATTTTAGAATATTTAAGAAAAAAAAATGTCTATACTCATAGTACATACATTCTTACGACAAAATACAAAAGAGAAAAAATATTAATAATAATAAAAAAAATAATGTGTTTTTATTTGATATCAAACTTGATAATTTGGAAAAATAATATCTCTAAACAATTTAAAAGAATAACGATTTAAACTTTTACTTAAAAATAATCAAGTGTTAAATCGATAATACAATAAAAATACGTTATGATATTATGAAGTTTATTTTTAGAAATTTCAAGCAAGAGATTGATTTTATTATACTGTTGAAACGGAAACATGAATTTGTGATATGAACGAATCCAATAATAAAATAGACTAATTTTTGTAGGTTTCTATAATTCTATTATTGCTTTCATGAAGATTGACATAGAGAAACATGAAAGAAATCAAAATTTATAAAAATGAAATACGTTTTTTAGGTGTAAAATATATTCGGTTTTTTACATTTGTAGAAAAAAAAATATGCACCGTAAGTTTTTTTCAAATCATATGTTAATTTTTGTTCATAAGGGTGTCAAAAACCTCTATGGGACACAGACTTCGTTTTCGTACGGAGACCCGTATCGTATACCTCATGGGAGTCTCGAAATAATTACTCTATATTTAACTATTATTATCTATAAAAAGAAAAAAAAAATAAACTTAGAGTAACCATTATGTAATATATGTTTTATATTTGAATAATTAATGCAATATGTAAGTTTAAACGAAATAAATTGGGTGAAAATAAGGTAAAGAAGGTTAAACAAGAGATTATGGGTCAAACGGGGTTAACGAGGGATTCAGGAGAAATGGGGGTAGAAGCGTGACAGGCGGGTGATCTTGAAATTTGGAGGCGGGATCGGGGGCTGGAAAACGATTGAATTCGAGAGGGGGGGGGGGGGGGGGATAATTTTGGCCAAATTTGGTCCCAATGACAAGGATATCCCTACTTGTTTCCAAAATGTCGATAGTCTTTTTTGAAGAGGTAAATGTGCATTCAATCGAGAACAATGTCATCATTGAAAAAAATCTTCCAAACAAGACGCATTGATTGAAGCTACTTCAAACACATGTTAACTATACAACTAATAGAATATTTCAACCAAAATTTCGTGTAAGAAAGATGAAATGTTTGAATTTTGCATTGAAAAGAGAACTAGGGATTATATATGCACTAATACACAAGAACCATTGAATTAAACTGCCGAATCAGTCATCAGGTGGAGGAGGGAGATGTTAGAGTACCCGATGGAGGGAGTATGCAATGGTGGAGGTAGAGGCGGTAGAAACAACCAATAGATAAGACAAAAGTGGTTGATGTGGATGTGGAGGTGACGGTGTAGTGGTGAAGGGTGATGAATGTTTTCTATGGTAAGGAGAAAGTGACCGGATATGCTTATAACTTATAAGATGTTTTCCAAATGATAACTTACTTTTTTTTGTCTTCTGGGAAGAGATGTCAACTTTTTTGTCTGCTGGGAAGAGATGTCAAAAAAACATCTTTATGTCTTTTGTCTTCCAAAAAAAAATGTCTTTGGTGCTTGTAGACATAGAAGGAGAACAATAGTTTAAAAAACAAAAACAAAACACCACCTTATGCATCACCTGAATAAATTCAGGTTTTACATTTTAAGCATATGGACTATTTTTAAGCAATATATTATATTTTCAACATTGGCTTACAAACTAGGTTTCTACCAAACTTCCAACATAACTGTGTCCATAAGCTTAACTCTAAAACTCCTTACCGTGATTAAAATCAAATTTTCGACAAAGACCCATTCCAAAAACTTTTTGAGTCAAACTTTAGCGCGTCAATATGAAGCGAACCTTTAGAACTTCTTAAATTATCCTCGACCTCCCATATCACACTTTGTTGTATTTCCTGCATGTGACTAAAAAAGGAAAATATTTCGTTATAGAGCAACTACTATGTATGTAAAGAATATTTGAAAGCACTTTCGAACCATCACACGGATTCCAACCCAACTGCCCATGATATGGTAAGAGCGGAATTGAAGGGAAAAAAAAGTCTTCTATGCGCAGACGTGAAAGCTCTATCAATAGAACTAGCTTCTTTTTAGGAAAAATAATGGTGAAGGCAAATGTGATTCCATCCCATTTTGCTTTAATTGGCCCCATAAAAATTGGTAGCCAACTATATTTATTACTTCTGGTAACTGACCATATGAACTCATTTAATACTTGTTGAGGACATAATCATACATCAACTTTCTAGTAGAAATTGAACGTCTATTTGGAGTCTACAATTATTTATTCAATTTCTTGCATGAAAACGAAAATCTAACGAAATAATTACTATCACTACAAGGAAAATGGTCATTAGCGGCGACAAAAGTCGCCGGTAATAAGTCCAGTTGTCGCCGGTAATAGCAATAGCGGCGACGCGTCGTCGGTAATAAGTCGCCGCTAGTACTCCGTCGCTATTTATGAACTTGTCGCCGCTAATGATAGATGTCGCCGCTAATGACCCTGTCGCCGCTAATGATAGACGTCGCCGGTAATGACCATGTCGCCGCTAATGATAGACGTCGCCGGTAATAGTGTCGCCGGTAATTACAATTTTCATTTTTTTTTAATTTTTTTTTGTAATTAACGATTTTTGTTGCCGGTAATAATGTAAAAATGCAAAACAAACATCCGATTATAATTAATTATATATCAAAAGTCATAATATCCGATTAAATATAAAAAGTAATAATGTCGCCCGGTATTAGTGTCGCCGGTAATTACAAAAAACAACCAAAGTTTTACAATCTACCAAGTAGCAAAGCGTTACAACGTATGAAAATGAAACTCATCCTGGCCTACATACCATCATCTTCATTCCCATCGTTTCCTCGATTATTTTGGGATTGAAAAAACGAATACAGCTCATCCCTACATGTCGGGTCATTCAACATTGCGCGAAGATTTTCCAACTACATAATTAATAACAACATATATAAACTTATAAGTTAAATTATCAAACATAAACAAAAACTATCAAACCACATTGCTATTTTTAAACTAAGACAAAAAACCAAAGTACGTTGTTATTTTTGAACTTGGGACAAAAACTTAATTACCAAACTTTTTAGCAAATAATCACCACAAAACCAAAATTACCAAATCAACATGCATTTTACGATGCTAAAGTAGATTGCTATTTTTAAACTACGACAAAAAACCAAAGTTCGTTGTTATTTTTTGCATTTGGGACAAAAACCTAATTACGAAACTTTTTAGCAAATAATCACCACAAAACCAAAGTAGATTGTTTTACCTGTGATGGTTGTGATGGTTGTGGTGATGGTTGCGAAGGCTGTGGAATCGGCGGGAGAGCAGAAGGTTTACGGCCAATGCCTCTAATATGACCACGTCGCTCTCCTAATATTTTCTCAAACGCGGCTCTTTCTTGAGCGGGAGTTAACTCACTTTCACCTTGAGTTTGTTCTAACAGCTCTTCAACTAATCGATTCTGTAACTCCCAAAAGTGAGTAACAATTAAGTATAAATAAACATTTAATTATATGATAAAATTATAATTAAATACTTACATATTGTTGTTCCGCCTCAGCAGTAACAAATACACCATTCTTATCGGTATGAGCTTTGTGAAACGTTTCCACTCTCTTCAGGTTCTGTTTAACTTTAAAAATTAGATTATATTTTAAATAAATAATTACATGTATCTTACGTTACCTTCTTATAGCAAGTACTGCTATACGAGCTCGACCCCCCACGATTCACATTTGTTTGCATTTCACGGATTTTTTTGTTCCTTTCTGAAGCAATTCTGTGTTCGTCTGTTTGGAAATACTCAACTGCTTTCTTCCGGTTATCAACTTCCATACCCTCTGGAGGGTTGACTAATGCTCTCGGGATATCTTCATACCCTCCGACTGACATAAAATATTCTTTTGCGTCAGCTTTACGTTCTCGATAACCTTTTAACAAAGCTGCTTGAAAACTCTCTGTCAACAAATTAGCTTGTACATCCCGGTACATCTGATCCAAATCAAACTTTGTCTACAAAAAAAAAAGTTAACCAAGTAAAAAACAATTATAGTTAACCATATAAAATATATTTAAATAAATAATTACCGCTAAATGTTGTAATACAATGTCCTGTATTGCAGGGGAAACTTTTTTTCAAGTCCATTTATCAAATGGGACCATCTGCCACATTGTTTTTCCAACTTCTAGGGAAAACATGTCTTTCGGCTCTCCTACGGGATCAAATGTGATATCCCTATCATATTCCATTGTAACAACGTAAATTTTCAAAACAATTTTTCATTTTTAAATCATATTTTCAATCATCAAAAACAATATCAAACAAACTGTCTCCAATGTCATCATAACAAACAAATCCCAGAATCTCAAAACATAATCTCTACGAGTGTGTACGGATCATGCCGGCGCCTTCCCGCGATCCTCGCTAGTACCTGAAACACATAACACAGCAACTGTAAGCATAAATGCTTAGTGAGTTCCCTAATATACCACATACAACACATACGCCTTTCCAGGCCATAACTTTGTAGGATCTTTCGATCCAAGTGTCTCAGGGGACTTCCGTCCCGAATCCCGGTAGACCTTCCGGTCCTACCCGCATCGACCTTCCGGTCCGTAACCTCCTGATCTTCCGGTCCATGTCCTCTTGACCTTCCGGTCCTTATCATACATAACATACATAACACATACATATCACATAACAGCATATAGCACATACATCTCATAGTATACAAGACCTTCCGGTCACACATAGGTACCACTCTAGGTACAGTATAGTGAGAAGACTCACCTCAATGAAGTCGGATAACTCTTGTGCTCATCGTCCCGACCTAGCCTCCTCCTATCATTCAAATAACATCCCCGATCAATACTCTCTCATAGTCTCATCTC